AGGTCAGTAAACACAACCAGAATTCATACATAAGGCACACGGGATTATAAGGGCCACTGTCAATTTTCAGAAAAATCAAAGGATTGATTTTAAGTGTGCCGCATTTTCCAAACAACACGGTAATAACGACGACCCGCTAGCATGCTCTTCCAAAAATAGTGCTTTGTTGCGTATCTGACGGACGAAAGCTAAACCATTTTTACAAACCAATTCTGGTTCATCCGTTTCATTCACCAATCCACTTTTGCTCTTCTTATACTGCGTCGCCGCCATGTGCGTATGTAAACATAGGCACTGCGCATGCGCGTTTTACACATATTCTATCGCGATATTTCATTTTCCTATCGTTGCCCAAAATTACACCGGTATTACCGTGAACGGTATGATATAGCCCAGCCCTGTGTGTGTGTGTGTGTCTGTGTGTGTATGAGTATGAGATACTGCAGATAAGTGCTTGGTAGCGATGTGTGAAGGTGTGTGTGTGTGTGTCAGTCCAGTCACTAAGTGTTCAGGAGTCATACGGCTTGCTGGTACCTCTTTCCAGAAGGCAGCAGGGTGAAGAGTGTGTGAGGTCCTCCATAATGCTGGTGGCTTTGCGGATGGAGCGGGTGCTAAAAGTGTCCATGATGGAGGGGAGAGGGGCTCCAATGATCTTCTCAGCTGCTCTCACTATCAGTTGTAGGGTACTGCGATCTGATACGGTGCAGTTACCATACTAGACAGTGATGCAGCTGCTCAGGACGCTCTCGATAGTCCCTCTGTAGAAGGTGGTGAGAATGGATGGTGAGAGATGAGCTTTCCTCAGCCTCCGCAGGAAGGAGAGATGCTATTGGGCCTCCTTAGTTATGGAGCTGGGGTTAAGGGACCAGAAAAGGTTCTCCGCCAGGTGGACATCAAGGAATTTGATGCTCTTGACGACCTCCACAGAGGATCCATTGATGTTAAGTGGGAAGTGAGCTCTCTGTGCTCTCCTGAAGTCAACAATCATCTCTTTTGTTTTGTCCACGTTCACAGACAGGTTGTTGACCCTACATCTCTACAGATGGCCCCTAGCGTAACCCTTCAGCCTCCTAGTAATTGCACCTATGGTACAAATTTGAGCAAACTAGGTGACTTCCTTCCTGTCACCGAGTTGTAACATTCACAAGATTTTCAGAAAACTTGACCTTTGACCCTGAGGTCAAGCTCACTGATATTCAAACTGATCCCAGAACTTCAGTAGATGCACCATTGGTATTAATTCAAAATCCTATGCCTCTTGTTCTGGAGTTATTGTCTTGACCAAGCTGAGTATACAATTATGAAAGAATTATTTTCCATTTTATTTCACTATCTGTAAATACGGCAAATAAACAGTATTTGTGACAATTACTAGTAAAGCAGTTAGTGAGAATCCACATCTGATTACAGTATAATACACTGCTTATTTATCTAAAATCATCATCAATAAATGTGTTCAAAACAGAAGCTACACTGGCTTTAAAAGTTTTTGTTAACTCTGACTAGGGCTGGGGCATATCAAACCATTCACAGTAATACCGGTATAATGTTGGGCAACAATAAGAAAATGAAATATTGCGATAGAATATGAGTAAAACGTGCATGCGCAGTACCTTTGTTTTCATATGCACATGGTGGAAAAAGCGTGCTGGCGACAGAGAATGAGAAAGGCGAAAGCGGATCGTTGAATGAAACGGATGAACCAGAATTGGTTTGTAAAAATGCTGCAACCTCAGTGGTGTGAAACTGGTTTAGCTTTCGTCCGTCAGATACACAACAAAGCACATTTTTGGTAGAGCATGCTAGCAGGCCTTCATTATTACCGCGTTGTTTGGAAAATACGGCACACTTAAAATCAATCCTTTGATTTTTCTAAAAATTGACAGTGCCCCTTATAATCCCGTGTGCCTCATGTATGAATTCTGGTTGTGTTTACTGACCTCGAAACGATTTTATGTCATACACAGCGCTCAAAAATCTGTCAAATGTTTCAGTACGACTTTGCTAAGCTACGAAGCCGCACCGCTTGATGGATTGTCGGAGCATTACAGCTATCGTAGGCAGGAGCCTCGCGGAGTGATACGTACTGTGCTTCAACATAATATTACCGTATTGTGTGTGTATAACCTCTTTTTAAGTTTAGTGGATATTATACATGGTTATGCTGAGGATATGTCGGCCAATTTCCACTGGAAATGCCTTTTGGTTAAACTGTCAGCAAGGAATTTGCATTTGCACTGTTACATTTTTATATAGCTTTAATGCACATAAAAAACAGCTGCTTGTTTAAGTGAACATACATTGATTGGGTTTCTTTTGCACTAATAAAGTTGTGGAGTTGTAAAGTATTTTGTCTCGCGTCAATTATATCGTCAGTTATATCTCTATTGCAAATCTTCAAATGTATATCGTGATAAATATTTTTGGTCATATCACCCTGCTCTAACTCTGACTACCTGTCCGCTCTTACCTGTTTCTTTTGCTCTCTCTGCTGTCTTCATCCTCCATCCAACTCTACAGCTATTGTTTGGGATGATATGATGAAACTGAAGGGTGGCTGGGCACCTGGAAAAAAAAGAGGTTGGATGAGGCTGCAGCTCGTGTCCCAGCCTTACTGGCATTGCCCCTCAAACCTGCTGCACCACCCCTTCCCTGCAGAAATGACAAGAAAAGAAATGACAAATGATGGGTCTCTGATGGGCAAAGACAGACAGACAGACAAAGTCCCTAGAGACACAATTTCAGTCAGTTCTATGCCAAGTTGTTGTGAATAAGGGTAAGTATGGAATTGAGTGCCTTTATGTTTGAATAATTCATGTTGGTGTTACAGGGCTTAGTAAACAAAAACTAATTTTGATGAAAGAAGCCAAGTACAAGGACCTCAACAAAGCCTACAATGAGGTGTGCCTATTGGAGAAAAAATACAAAGAAAGTCAGGTTGGCTCAAAGCATTTGTACAGTACTGTATCCGAGGAAATCGATGATATTAAAACCAAGTTCATAGAAACTTTATATAGCTTAAAGTGAAATTATCAAAGAAACCTCAGCTACTTACCTGCTTTTGACTAACAGTTCTCTGAGTTTTGCTTCAAAGAAAAGTTTTTGGTTTATTTCAGCTGTTTTCAATTGATATTGACTTTGTTAGTTAAACATTTTTAACCTGCTTTCAGTGTGTCCTGTACACGAGTCCTCTTAGCAAACCATGACATAATATCTTTTTGGAGCTGATGAAGCTAAGCTAAAAACTATGGAGGACCACAAGAGCCACGCGCATCGAAATAAAGAATTCTGTGCTTAAATAATGAATTGTAGAATAAATTCTCCATTTGTAAATTCATTTTTGAATTCCAATTTAATAAATTGCATTTCAAAATAAATTTATGATTCCTGTTTGCTTAGGGATTAACCTTTGGATTAGCTGTTGGATTAACAACTTCATTTTAAAAATACTGCAGCTATTCAAATTAGCCACACTGTGGGATGTAAGGAGCTCTCTGATTGGTCCATCTCTGAGGCCGTCTCTCCTGCATGAAGTCCAGGTGCCGGTTTCCAGTGTGTGCGTCTGATACCCCAAAGCTGACTCAGAGCTGTAACACCATCAATGGCTGCAGTATGGAACAGATGTGGGTGTGTCCTCATCTCCCAGAGGAGTCCAAATCATCATCAAACAGCCCTACAGACACAAAAACGTGAAAATATAAACAACCAGACTATCAGCAGTGATTTAACTACTTTAAGATCGCTGAGAAAATCATTTACAGTATATATCACTGAATTTAAGGCCTTTAAAATCACAGAGCATACAGAAAAAAGTACTAAACTGAATCAATTTCAGCTTTCGTTTTTCATGATGTATATTGTATTAAATTTCATTATCTGTGTCTTTACCACACATTTGCCACACAGGTTTAGATACTGTAGGTTAAGTGAATGCTTAAATTGCACTGATGAGAATATACTGGACATTCAAAGCTAAGATTCAGCGCACTGTGTTAGAGGCTGGGATTTGATGAATTCATCATATATACAACCTTTGATCGTCATTTATGTCCAGAATGAATCTGTGCACTCACATATTAAATGAACGGAAACCAGTAGTGTGATCTCCAGTCTTGATATATTGAATGAGAGAACTGACAGCTGTTATTTTAATCAGCCTGTCTCAGTTGTTTTAACTCTTAAGTATCACAAAGTAATGTGGTAACATCTGGACTGACGAGTTTACTGTCAGCATTTTAATCACTAGTTTAAAGGCTGTAGGCTGCAGCCGTTGCTTTAACACTGTATAAATGTAACAGGGCTCAGTGCTGGTTCTAATAGTCTGCTTCCAGCTTTATTTGTGAAGAGTACAGCAGCTCACAAAACAGGTAGCTAGCTCGTACAGCTGTGATGTAAAAATTTCACAAGCTAAGATGACCTTAAAATAACGGGGCTACATGCGGTGATGCTAGCGTTAGCCATGCTAGCACGTTACCTTCAACAGGTGGTCAGACCGAGTAAACAGGCACTCAGTCAGAGGCTGGGCTCTCCGTTTCGCTGCAGGGTCTCTTCATTCTTCACATATCCGTGTTGAGCCGAGTGTAAATCCCGAGGCTGAACGGCCTTTGTACAAGTACACACGCTTAGCAGGGCGAAGCTATGAGCTAGAAAAATCCAGGCAGACAGCCTGTGTCTGTCCAACCAATCAGAGAGCTCCTTACATCCCATTTGAATAGCCGCAGTATTTTTAAAATGAAGTTGTTAATCCAACAGCTAATCCAAAAATTAATCCTGAGCGAACAGGAAAGGGAAATGGATTTTGAAATGCAGTTTATTAAAGTGCAATTGGAAAAAGAATTGTGAAATGAAGTTTATTACATTGGAATTCAAAAATGTTTTTTGAAATGAAGTTTTTAAAAAGCATTTTTAAAATCAGTTTATTAAATTGGAATTCAAAAATGAATTTACAAATGAAGAATTTATTCTACAATTCATTATTTTGGCTCTTGTGGTCCTCCATAAAAAAAAAACAGTCAACATGAAGCAGGAAGCATGAAGTTAAAATCTTGTAAGTGGTACAATAAAGTTTTCATCCTGAAGTGATATCATTGTTCCAGGATAAATGTCTTGTCTGAACAAAAGTTGCCACTAGTCAGGGAGATGCTAACCAGGTGCTGGGTTGGTTCAAATCCAGCCTAGAGCAGTTCTATGTGAGATTTGCATGTTCTCCCTGTGCCTGTTTGCTCTGTGTTCTCTGGTTTCCTCCTACACTTAAAAAAGTATTTACAGGTTAGGTAACTGGTCATTCTAAATTGGATGTAGGTGTGAATGCTTGTCTGTCTCGCTGTTTTATCTCTGTGACATGTGTACCGGGCTTGCTCCATGACATCTAGGTTAGGCTACAGCTACTCTACCACCTTGAAATAGATAAGTGGAAGAAAATGAATGGATGGTCTCGTCTAAGTCATGTACCCAGATTAATTTTTAGGGTAAATAATATAATGCTATTTTTTTTTTCTCAAATTATGGAGCCAAGAATCATAAGGCAGACCACCATGTTAAAACTGAGGCTTCAGACCACATTACATAGGTAGTCCATTTTATTATACAGTATTTAGTTCAGCCACAGTTAAACAGAGATGACAGATCACATCAGTCCAGCATATCACTGATTTATAAAGCTTTACTGAATGATTTCTCAGCATAAAAATATTTATTACAACATAAATGTTTATGCCACTCTGTCTAAAGATCATTTGGATCCGGTTACAGGCTTCCCAGGTGAGAGTTCTTGTCAAAAAAATTCTAAAAAGAGCAAGAATGTCACCAATACGCTCTTCTACATCTCCCTCCCTACTTTATACATAGCGGACAGATGGAACTAGGCTATCAGTTTGCTAAAGTTAGCCACGCAATTAGTTCACACACTAATTAGCTGTGAGAGGCAGAGGCACACCAGATTTCCCCAGTGTCTAAAACCCGTTTCCCAGCCTGAAAAAGAGTAAATGAGGTCCTGGCAAAGACAGCAGAAAATATCCAGAAAGAAAAACATGGCAGCTCATACAACAACATTTATCAAAAAGTGGCGTTGTTATGGGAAATGTGAATGGAAATTTTAATCCTTCTTTGTGGGAGAAACAAATATTCCACATTGCCTAATCAGGAGTAACTCAAACATCTATATCTGTTTTATATAACATTAATTCCCCTCCTATAGTTTGGGACGCTCATAAGAGGAGGTAAAATAAATTTAAAGGCTCACAAGGTGATCAGCAGGAGAAAAAGAAAGAATTTAGATGGTGTCTAAACTTTCCATGAACTCTCCCCCACTTTTGTTTATCACTGAATAATCTTGTAAAAATTAGACCATCTTAGGGCTTTAATTTCATGTAAATATCTCTCATCCTGCCCTCCTTGCTGCTGGGATGAACTGTGGTTTCACTTTAGGGCCAAGGGGTTCTTTAAAAAGCCAAATTCCCACATGCTTCTATTTGTTTTTACTGCTAGCCAAATGTTTTACTTCACTGGAAAGAGAAAATAATGTCTGGTGAGTGTTCCTGCAATGTGTGGGCATGTGTGGAAGCACATGTGTATGAGTGTATACTGAGGGGAAACTGCACGCCCGAGAATGTGGAAGAAATACAAAACAATTAAAGCTCTGTTAAGAGAGTGCAGTGTTGGCAGGCATCTCATATCAGGTGCAGCAGAGACCCAACAATGGAATGCTCTGAGGTGGTGAGCAGATCGATGTCAGACGTCTCACTTGCCATGAAAAAGGCCCAGATGCTTCACTTGATGGACAGTCTGGACACATTAGCCATTCAAAATGGACACAAGTCATGAGAAGGTCAACTTGATGCCTTCAA